CTGTGCTAGCAGCAGGATCTGTGCCATGCATTCAAGGGCTCTGCTGGCTCCTGCCTGGTGGGAGCACGTGGTAAAGATGAGGGTGGTGTTTTTACGTGCCCTTGGCAGATCATCATTCAGCCTACAACTAAGCCATGGGATCTTACAGTACAAACATCATAGAGACAGAAGCAGCAAGCTAAACATGCTGCATATTCTACCTTCTGCAGTAACCCAGGGCACTGCAGGACTGGTCTAAATTCATGCAAGGCTTGAATAATGATTGAGCATTTGGGAGAACCTTGTTTGGATCCATTGCATAATAATCAGCAAAACCTCTCCAGCTCTGCTGCACTTGTTCTGCATGACACCCTTACATAAGTGCTGTTGGCAGGATTTCCATCTGCCAGAAGAGAAAAAGAGGCTTGGAGACATTCAGGTTCAATTCCCTGGTCCCCACATTTGGATTAAACTCTGGACTGGCAGCAGTGATGAACAATTCCCTGCTGGTCTTCCCACGTACTGCTGTCTCTGCTCAATGCTGAACTCCGCTCATGCAGATGTTCTTGAATATTAGTGGTCAAAACCCCGCTTGACAAGAGGGTCCCACAGGCACGAGCAGAAGTTTCTGTGTGCTAAACACCATTAAACAGGAGATTAAAAGCACTTCCACTCTCCAGTCTTGCTTGTCCTGAATGACCAGTTTGAGTCATTGGAAACTTCATAGACAGTAAGCTCAGGCAAGGACCTGAGCAGACATGAGGTGACAGCCACCCCTTTAAAGATTCCCTGCTCATCCAACCTCCCTTCGCTTTCCCTCCACCACAGGGAAATTAAGAGGATAATCAAAGTAAAACTCATGTGTTGAGAAAGAACAGTGTAATAACTGAAAATTAGTAAAATATAGTAGTAATGGTAAAAATTATTAAATTTATAATAAAAAGGGAAAAAACAAATTATGGACAAGTGCTCATCACCCTCTGATGGCAGACTCCCCCTTCTTGAACCCAGGTCAGTCCCCCCCCTCCATTATGTGTAAGTGACCCTTGGTTTATATACTGAGTATGGCATTCTGTGGTGTGGAATATCCCTGGTGAGCCCAGGTCCTTTGTCCTAGCTGTGCTCTCCCAGTTCTTTTGCATCCCTTCTCACTGGCAGCGCATGAGACAACCGAAAAATGCATGGGAAAACAGAAAAACGTCCTTGACTTAGGGTAAACACGACTTAGCAGAAAAACAACATCAGTGTGTTACTAACACCACTCGGATTCTGAATCCAAAACACAGCACTGTAACAGCTACAGAGAAGAAATTAACCCAGAAATAAGCATAGCTGAAAATCAGGACACAGGGGTACTGGGATGGCACATGCTGCCAGGGGCAGCTGGCAGGCTGGGGCAGCTGCAGCTGAGTGAAGAGCAGAGCTGACTCCTTGAAACACCTTTTTGTGGGCAGTGTGAGGAAGCACCAGCAGCTGCAGGCAGTTCTGTGGCTGCAGCAACCACACAGCTGCAGGGACAGCAAAATCATCCCTCCCTACTGCCATGGGAGAGGCCAAGGGCATCCAGCTTGGGTACAGACATAGCTGTAGGTAGAGCAGCTAAACCTCAGCCCTTGTAGCAAGAGCGGGGTTTTATTAGCTGAAGAGGGCAGAGGTACCCAGCTTTACATGGCCATTTTTCAACCACTGTTACAAAGAATTTGGGAAGTTGATCTTTAAAAACTTTCTTGACATCTATGTTCATGGACATTCCCTATTAAAAAAAAAATATCTAACAGCTGTACTGCTTTGTGCCAGCACATCTGCACCTCACTGGGGATAGGAAAAAAGGTTTGCTCTCTGAAATGCCAGCAGTGCTTCCTACTGCTGCTGGTTACAGATGGGGACACGAATCCCAGCTGTTAACTCCCAGGATAAAGTGTGGGCTGCAGAGAAAAAATGGTTCAGCATTTTATCAGTGTGTCCAGCTGCTGCCACATTGGTAATATTGCTATCACACAACCAAAATGGTCCTAAAAAGGTCTTCAAGGGTGTTTGAATCCTATCTGCCTGAGGTGGAAGGTGATGAATGCAGCTCTAGTGGATTAAAATGCCCAGCAGCCATGTGCATCCTCAACAACATCCCACCCACTCCTGCAGAACACACTGGCAGGGTTGCCAGCATTTGTAGGCACCCAAAAAAAGTGCCCTCAAGCCACCAGTCCTGGCCACAAGCACTTGGCTGTGATCTTTGCACAACAGCTTCCAGCTGCAGCTTCAACCAAAAGGCAGCCAGACACAGGGACTGGCAAACCAGCAAGATTGTGCTCTTAGGAATGGATTTGGTACTGTTTAGGGCAAAAACTTCCAGGCTTGGCTAGGGTTCTTTTCCTCCTACCAAGACATTTATCCTTGAGTTAATGAACATGTCTGACTGCTGCTCTGGCCCCACAGAGCCTGAGACCCAAACCTGCATAAGGAAGGTTTCTACCCAGCTGCCTAACCTGCTCCATAAGGGAAAATGCAATTTGGATCCTTCCCAAATCTACTGAAAGTATCTTTCCAGGAATGCAAAATGCAAGCCTGATAAGCACATTTTAAAACAAGACTGTTAAAGCTGTCCTTCAGTTCCAGTTGTATTCTAAGCAGCACCAGGGTAATTTGCTATCTTGGGGGATTTTATCAATTTAGTAACTCCAAAGCTGTTGTCTGGAGACTTTCCTTTCCAAATCACTTCAACTTTTCAGGCCGAGGAAAGAAAGAGCTGCTTGAGATGAAGATGGGCCGGAAGAGGAGGAATTACGCTGACTTCCTTCCCGACACAGAGCTGCGTCACGGACTGTGGATAAGTGCATTTACCAGCACGGGCCTCCCCCTTCACGGCATGCGGTGACTCCCACCTCTCCCTCACCCTGACTCCACAGCAGCGCAGCTGTGACAACCACTTGCCACTGCCGCAGTCCTTCCCTGCCACGCCCTCCCTGGTGCATCTGACAGACGTGAATCTGCAGAGGAGTAAGACTTATCCTCTTCCCTGAGAAACTGAAAGCAGCAATGCATTTTTAGGAAGTGCAGTGAGTGCAGCAGGAACACTTCACTTGCAGCTCACTGAAGAAACAATATCCTGCCTCCAGAGCCTTTGAACTGACACTTCCTTACAGCAAGCTGGAAGGAGCCTTTCCACCAGAGGCTGTGCCATACAGAAAAGCACACTTGCTTGGAGCACAGAACTCCCTAGTTAGGAATGTTTGCACACAGCAATTAAATATCCCAGTGAGCCTGGAGTACAGACAGGATGACACACAATTTGCCATTCAACCAAGCAGCAAGGCTGTGCTCATCCTGCTTTGAAGCACCTGCTTTTCAAAGCAGCTCCACGTCTGTACACAGGTGCCACGTGGCAATTTGCTCCAGGCTGGTGCCCAGGGCTCCCAGCCTTGGCAGGACCAGCCAGCAGGGCAGGAGTCATTTCCACTCCCACAGATCACCGCCAGAATTTTAAACATTGACTCACAGGAAGTGGGAGCCAGGCCTATGAAGAGCAGCACAGGCATAGCACCACTGCCCTGCCCACACTTAACTTCACTCAACTGAGGACTGCTTCCTCTCCCTCTCCTTTAATGCTCCCTTTTTTAATGAAGATGCATCAGGAAAGGGAAGATCTTCACCTGGCCCCGTTAAACACATTCTCGTCAAGAAAAGCACAAGCTGCCTCAATGACTTTTATCTAGACTTTGAATCTGCCTCCCAGCCTCGCTGGGTGAAAACAGGCTACACCAAAATTGTACCTCATCCAGCACAGCTGACCCAAAATCCTCTCTTGAAAAAGCTTAAAAAACTAAAAAATTATAAACCCCCATACATATATGAAGTTCCCACAGAACTAAAGTAGGGTGTATTTCACCAGACAAGAACCTGAGAGGTAATTAAAGCATACTCCACTCCCTCCTCCAGTCTCTCACTCCTCCCAGCCTTCTGCCACATCTATCTCACCCCTGCAGAACTCCCCTCCATCTCCACCCTCCAGCACCAGGGGCCAAAAATTGACACAAGACAGAAAAGATGTGAAAACTCTGAAGGAGATAAACAGTTAGCAAGTGGGCCATGCCCTCCTCTTTGAGGCACCGTAACCACCAATGCCTCTGCCATCACTGCAGCAGGTAAAAAGTTAATGATTACCAGTCCAAGGCAACATCCCTGGTCAGGACCAGGTTAGCAGCATCAGACACCCCCTTGCTCCAGGTGGGGCTCTGAAGGAATTTGTGTTCCTTTATTCAATCCAAACTGCCACCAGGTCAGACAGGCAGAAAGCGCAAGGAACCCATTACTGTTGCATCTCAAAAGAGAACCCGAGAAGCAACAGTATTTGCTCCAGGTCTGTCAAACAGATGCATTCCCTAACAAGGAACACAGCAGGAACATAAATTATACACACTCAGGTTAAGTCCCAAGTACAGGCATTCACCTGGTTTGGAGGAAGTCTAGGGCAGGGCTAGGCCATTCCAACATCTCTCTCCAAGAGGCCAAGTACAGAAAAACCCCAAGTCCTGCAACTTGACTGAATTCCAGTTCACATGCTCCCCAACAGATGTCAAATACCAAGTACCACAGCCAAGCTGTGTTGGGAAACTGAGCCATTTCACTTTCAGTATTCCCATTCGGCCTCCTGCCTTGATCTTGGAAACATACAGGAAAGGCTCAAGTACTCGTCTCACAAAGCAGCTCAGCCAGCACTCAGCTTGAGTAGCACATATTCCATTCTGAGATGTTTTTATTAATAATTTCTAATCTCTTCCAGAGATAAGTCTGCACAATCACAAAAGATGATGCTGGTCCACTCCACTATGGCATTTCTTGAACTTTGCCTTATTAACCTCAACCTGCTTTTGCACTCCAGTGCCACAGGCAAACTGAAATCTGTCTGGAAATAGTCCAGTTGTAGTGCTCTAGCACCAGCTGTGCTACTAACAGCACTCAATCCATGGTGCAACCTCTCCGAGTCACCTTGAGAGACACATCAGACCAAAAGACATGACCTAGAATCAGTTTAAATGAGTTTTATTTTAGACAACCTACATGATAGATGTTTTTTCATTTTTTTAAACAATGCCTCCACTCCAAATCAGGGTCAAAGTAAGTGAATAAAGCTCAAGATGACATCAGTCCAGTTAGACATTGCTGATTCCTGGTGTTGTGCCGATGAAGAAGAACAGCAGCCAGCTATGAAGACAAGTGATCCAAAACCATACTGTTTGATTTGTTACTGAAACAAGAGTAGCAAGTGTTAGTTAAAGGTCATGACAGTATCAGCAAGTTTCTGTAACTTGTGTATTCCCTAATTCAATCTGGGCTGCCACAGTCAGGCAGGCAGAAAGCGCAAGGAAATTATTTTTGCATCTTAGTGCAAACCAGGGAGCAACAGGACAAGTGCCCATGGTCTATCAGAGGATGCTGATCATTTTTACAATCGTACAGAGCAACTGGCACCACCAGCTGCTGTGCAAGCCAGGCTGAACACTGATTCACACCCTTCCTACTTGACATATCAAAGTTCAGATTCCCTCTCAAGCATATCCTAAACAAGTACCAGAGCTTACAATGTACCTGGCTGCCTCTGGAAACAGCTGCACCAACAAGCTGAAACGGGTTTTACTGCACGTAAGAACACTCTACTACTGTTTTACTCCACCTTGAAGTATGTGGAGTTATCTAAACAACACATCCAAAAAGTGTACCCCCATAGAGGGATGTCTTCCCATACAGGAGGTGCACAGAAGCTTCTGCTCCCACGAGGTACCTTTCAGGTGATCACCTGTTCCAGGGCCAGGACAGACATCTCCCCTCCATCAGGCTGTGGGAGGTGCTGTGTCTGTCTGGCCATTTGAAGTATTCCTTTAATTGGGCTACTGCTCCACACCAGCATCTGGCTCATATTTACATGACTTCCATACCAACAAGCCTGCGAGAGGCTTTACAGATAAATTTAGCTGTCTATATACAGACTTCACAAGTCCACAATAAGTGGGCAAAGCAACTGTTGATCCCACGCTGTGGTGAATTCCACAGGTCTCCAAGCAAGCCAAAAGCTCACAAGTGCTGGGATCCAAATAATGTCTTGTGGCAATCAGATTCCAACACAGAGTAGTTAAAGCAGACCACAGGAGCTCAGGTAGTTGGAGATGCCAGAGAGAAAAAGGTTAAGTACCTGGTCAAGTAATACTGTGTTCCCAAATTTCAGGCAATATTTAAACTGACAGCTCTTGTATAAAGGCATCAGATTAAGTGAAAGATGAAACAAGACCATGCAAGGTACTTCACAATCAACCCCCAGAAAAGGGACCCAAAGTAGAAGTGCTCCATTTCAGAGGACCTGCTCTTTAATCTAATGGTTTAAACCCATTCCCAATTATACACATCCCAGCAGGGCCAGCCCTTCTGCATTTCTTGGCCATTAAATTGCCATGAATCACAGCAGTGATACTACATCCCCCCTTTTAGTACAGCTGAATAGTACTCAAAGTTTCAGGAACTTTGTATACTATGAAAGCACCAATCAGGCTGTACTTGCACAATACTTAAAGTTTTCAAACTAGCAGCTACTGTTCAACTTGAACAGGGATACAGGAGAACAAGAGATGAAGGAGCTCACCATCTACTTGGATGCATTCACCCAGTTCAGTACTTACACATTTCTCGATTTCTAAGCCATCCTTAAAGAAAATCATATATGGGGTCACACCATCCTCACGGAAATCCAGGAGAGCCACCATTCCATCTGGATTCATGTTCTCCCCTACAAAGAACTTCAGAGGAACATGTCTCTAAGACATTTAATTGATTAATGCCAGAAGAAAATGCCTTTTTATACAATACCTTCGTATAAACAATACAACATCACCAAGCTCAGTTTAAAAGTCTCCCTGACCAGCCACAGGGATTTTCCTTCTCTGTAGCTTGTCCATCTTAGTGCCACCATGGTTGACACACCAGAAGAAAGGGATGCCATCCAGAGGGACCTTGACAGGCTGGAGAGGTGGGTCCATGGGAACACCTTGTAAAGTTCAACAGGCCAAGTGCAATGCCCTACACCTGGGTCAGCACAACCCCAAACATGTGGGCCCTCTTGGGAACGGATTTGACAGCAGGATTTGACAGCAGCTCTCGGAAGGACTCGGGGTCTTATTTAACCCCATGTAACCCAGCACTGTGAGCTTGCAGCCCAGAAACCCAAACATCAAAAGAGGTGTGACCAGCAGGTCAAGGTAGGTGATTTTGTTCCTCTGCTTTGCTGAGACCTCACGTGGAGTGCTGCATCCAGCTCTGGAGCTGGGGTCCCAACACAAGGAATTGGACCTGCTGGACCAAGCCCAGGTAGGCCACTGAGATGGTCAGATGCCTGGAGCACCTCTTCTGTGAGGACAGACTGAGGAAGTTGGGGCTTCCTCAGTAAGTTCACCCCTAGAGGCTCCAGGGAGACCTTACAGCCCCCAGAACCTAAAAGGGGCTACAAAAAGTCTGAAGAGAGGCATATTGCAATCGGACAACAGGGAATGACTTTGAAACTCCAGAGAGGATAGATTTACATTACATATTAAGAAGAAGTTATTTACTGTGGTGCTGGCAAGACACTGGCACAGACCGACCAGAAGAGCTGTGGATGCCCCATCCCTGAAGTGTTCAAGGCCAGGTTGGATGGGGCTCTGAGCAACCAGGCCTAGTGGAAGTTATCCCTGCCTATGGCAAGGAATTGGAACCCATGACACTTTTCAACCCAAAGCATTCTGTGATTCAATAATAAGTTTGCTTTGAACAGAGTAAGAGACAGCAAGGGCCAAAGTGATCCAAGACTACTGCACAGTCCCTGAATCACCATAACAACAAATGTAGCTAACTGCAAGCATTACCAGCTGAAATTACATCTCCACACAGGTAACAGCCTTTGGCTGTTTCTCCTCCCCGACTCTCAGGGCCCCTAAAACTCCCAGAGACTGTCAGGTTAGCATCCTCGCAACAGGAGCCCTCAAAATTCTCAACAAGCTGTTCAGCAGATGAACCAACCACAGCTTATCAATAGTGCTATAAGAAGACATAACTTACCTGGTAGTTTTTGAAGTTGGCAAGGATGTGTTTGATTTGTTCTGCAGCCCCAGTCATGAAAGGCTTTACTCTCTCTGGCTTGTGTTCCTCAAGTCTGGCTTTGATTCTGGAAGGAGAATGAAAGAATGCTCTGAAAACATGTTCTAGCTTAATATCTTCACTGTCTGGCATGTCATAGCAGAAACAATCTACCCAGCTATCTGTCAAACTTAGATTTTTGCTGCCTTTCCCCCACTCCCTCTCAAAGCCGCTAAATTTTAACTTAGCTTTTCAAGTGAAATCACAGAACAGTACCTGCCCTCCTAATGAAGTAATTTTACAACCATGCTAGTGCTAGGCAAAAATCAGCAAGCCCTTTCCACAGCACCAGGAGTATCACCCACCCACGTCACAAAGCTTTTTCACTTTCAGTATTAACCCCACTGAACACCAACTGATATTACAACATGAACTAGCAAAAAGACCCATTCACACACATTTTTGGCTGTTTACACTGTCACTCTAGAAAAGCTTCAGAAGTTTTTCTTTACCACCTCATTCCCTTCCACATAAAGGTTTGGCATGGAGAAATATAAAAGAAAATAGCAAGGCCACAAATAAGATCCAAAGCACATGATCAGGTGCTCTACCTCAGCCAAAATAAACATAGATATTCCATCCCCCATTCTTTAGGGCTCCAGTTCTGCCAAGCATTGAGACATTACTGAAGTTCACAGCCAGTTTCACAGCTATATCAGAACTAACACCTACTAGGAATAAAGCCAATGCTGTTTTTAAATCTCGAGCACATAAAACCCACTGCAATGCAACCAAAAGAAAAAGCATACAAACACTTACGCTTTCATGTAATCCTTAATGTACTTCTTGTAGGATTCTTTTGTGAAGCTGGTCTCCTGAAGGTGGTGGTTAATTACTATGTCAACACCAGTTATGACCGTGGCTTCTGTTCCATCTCCCTCAGGACCTTCAGCAGAGGCATTGCCACCAATTAGAGAGTCATCAATTTGACCCTCTGTCCTGGTGACCATCTAGATTTAGAGACATCAAAAAACTTAACGGCTCTGCAAAAAACCTTAGCGCTACCGCTTTTACACACCTATGACCTGAGAGCAGGGCACAACTTGAGAGCCACAGTTCAGTGCGAGGAACCTGGCTGCAGCTTGAGCACTAATTTCCCAGAGACAGGAAAAGTGGGAGTGGATTCAAATTGAAAGGCAGTAGGTTTAGATTAGATATTAGGAAGAAATTATTTACATAGGAGGCACTGGCAAAGGCTGCCCAGAGAACCTGTGGATGCCTCACCTCTGGAAGTGTTCAAGGCAAGGCTGGATGGGGGTTTCAGTAACCTGGTCTAGTGGAAGGTATCTTTGCCCATGGCTGGGAGGTTGGAACTAGATGATCTTCAAGTTCCATTCCAACCCAAAGCATTCTATGATTCTATGACTCCCAAGGACAACTCCCACACGGTGCATAACCCAAGCTCCATTACACTCCAGCCTGGCTGACCCAGGCTCTCTCAGGCACCACGGGACACCGGGCCAAGGTAAGTCTTCCCTTCTCTCGTTCCCTGCTCGGGCCCTTCGCAGGGACGCCGCCCCCACTCCCCACCGGCCGTGAGTCACCGCGGCAGCCCTGCCTCCCTCCCTCCCTCCTTCGGGGCGGGCGGGCACTCACCTTCCCCTCCACTTCCAGGCACAGGCCGTCCGCCACCTCCCGGATCTTGTAGATGTCCGAGAACATCTCATCCTCTGCGGGGGACACACAAGCGCACACACACCCGGCCGGGTCAGCCTCCGCTCCCCCATCGCTCCCGCCCCGGCCTCCGCGCCCCCCCACCCCGGCCCGGCCCCGCACATGCGCGGCGGCGCCGCCGGGCCCAGCGCACGGGCCCGGCCCGCGCTTCTCCCCCCCAGCTCCGGGCGCCGGCCCGCCGCCCCTCCCGCCCGCGCCGCGCCCTTGCCCCGCGGCCTTACGGCTGATGCAGTCCCGGTAGATGATCATGGCGGCGGCGGGGGGCGGCGGGGGCGCGGGGTCTCAGCGCAGCGACCCGGGCGCGGGGCGGGAGCGGGGCGGAAAGGGCCGAGTCAGCGCCTGCCGGGGCTCATATAGCGGGCACGGCCCCGCGCGTCACCGCGCACGCGCACTGCTCGCCGCCCCGCCCCGCCGCCGGCTGCGCCCCCGCGCGGCCGCGCCCGGGACTGCCGCGCGAGGGGGCGCGAGCGCGGGGCTCCCGCAGCGCGGGCCGGGGCAGCGCCCGGTCCCGGTCCCGGTCCCGGTGCCGGTGCCGGTCCCTGGCACTGCGGGGAGCCCTCCCCTCCGTCTCCTCCAGGATGGACATGCCAAGCGCCTCACTGAGGCGTCCCCTCAAGGTCCTTCAGCATGGTCACTGCCTCCTTTGGCCGCCCTGACAGCCCCGTGTCTGCCCCAGCACTCGAGGCGAGGCCGGCCCATGCCACAGTAGAGCTCTGCGCGATCCGCTCCCTTGCCCGGCTGGGATGCTGTGCTGAGGCACCCCGGGACACGGGTGGCTCTCCTGGCTGCCAGGGCTCTGCTCAGATTCAGCTTGCAAAGCTGGGAGCAGGATTTCATCCTTCCCAGTCAGGGCTGGCAGGGACCTCCAGAGAGCAACCAGTCCCGCTCCATGCCAGAGCAGGGCTGGTGCCTCTCCCTCATTGCCCATGGTTGCATTTCATGGGTTTCAACAGCAATTTTCCTCTTTCTCCTAATCTTTTAAGCTCTCAGTAACACTTTTCTTTTTGTCTTAACTTTTTATGAGGTGTCTGGGATGTATGACCACTGGCTCTTTTCTCATTACTCAGAGTCACCAAGCTGGAACAATCACATTTTCACTTTCTTTTTCCATTTGGTGCAAGATGGTACAGCTTTTGGGCACATCTATGCATCCTTTCTTTTTTCCCAACCTCTTTTTTCAGGGAGACAGTTATGTATATCCACTCTCTTTTCCTTGTGTCGTATTAGGAAGAATTTTTGCACCCATATTTCCAGACTAGCCTCCAATTTAACACAGACAGCCTTGTAAATCCACACACTGACTTTCCAAGGAGAACTGCACCCAACTTTTCCCAAGCACCCCAGGGAAGCACTGCTGCCCATGTCCCACCACAGCCAGAGTGTCCCCTCCATGGGCAGCCTGACAGGTGTGTGTCTTTGTCAGCTGTCCTGGCCACTTCCAGCTGCTGCCTCCTCGCCGTGATCCCCACACACCATTGAGTGGCTCTGGACTTTGCAAGGGCTGGGACACAGGGACACAGAAATTCATTCGCCCTACTGGCGAACTCCAAATACGTGCTGTTTTCAAAACATTTATAGGGGAATAATTAGGAAGCTGTTGGACTCTTCTTGTTATTATTCCCTCAGGGAAATTCAGTAGGGTATGTTCAGAGGCACCACTTGTGCACTTGCAAAAGGGCTGGCTGGGGCAGGTATATTTTTCTTATTTTTCTAAGGATAAGTGAGATTTAGCCCAGTAGTCAGGGTCGAGATGAAAAACGGAAGGCAGTTATGCCTAGACCTCTTTTTCCCCTTTTGGACTTGCTTTTCTGCAGCAGCCTGTCACACCTAGAACAAATCTAGACCTCACTTGAACTCTGATTCTTAAGAGACATTGAAAAAATACCTTCAAAAGACATCATGGGACCTGAAATGCTTAATGCTGCTAATGATCTCGGACTTGGCAGAGACATCAGAGCAGAGGACACAATTCCCTGTCCCTCACCTTCGTTAGGCAGTGGAGCTCCCTTTTTATCTCCTTCCCTGCTCTTCCTTCCTTTGCTCCAGATATCAGTGCCTTTTTTTTTTTTTTAAGATGGTCTAGCTTCTTACATAATTACATTTATAAGTTGTTCTCTGTTGGTTTTCACCCTCAAGACTACTGCTGTTATTTCAGGCCTGAAGAAGGGGCTTCTTCCCAAAGCTTTTCCTGTTTGTTTGTTTTTTTTTCTCAGTGGCAGCTGGCCTGATAAAAGATAGCCTCTCTTTTTACAAATCACAGTAAAAAAAGAGCAACTTACATCTTTAGCAGTGTGTTGAGTGACAGGGGAACATTTGGCTCCTTCTACATAGTGTAATATGCAGCTAAAAACATCCAGTTAGTAGGTGTGCTTCAATTTGGTTTTATTTTCAAGAGACCGTTCTAGAAAAATGGGTATTTCTGCAGTAGTCTGGAAGCCTCTTACAAATTCATCAGTTGACTCAATTGGCTGAAGTCAGGGTAGAAAGCTTCTAGCACAGTATGAAGGTAGATGGACCTTCAGGTTGCTTTGCCTTGCCAGTAGGTCTGTATTAAGAGTTGCAGGTGTAAAATGTGAGATGTCATCTAAAAATGCATCTGTTAAACGGGTCAAGGCCCCTGTGTGAACACCAGCTTGATGTGGAGTTAAGTTAAATCAGTATCAAGCTGAAGTTAGCAGTGTTTAAATTGGCATAGGTGTCACTGAAGTACCAGTGCTGAAATTTTCCTGTGATCCCATATAAACACAGAATTATGTCATGTACTGATACTTTGTGAAATAGATTTGAAGATGCCTTTTTTTTTTTCAGAAACCAGTGACATTTGAGAAAATCTTAGTGTTCCTCACCTGCTTTCTGTCCAGGCAGCCTCTTAGAGCATTTCTCACATCCAGCCAGAGCTGGATTTACATTTCAGAGTGATAGTAAAAATGTGGTCCCTCCCTCCCTCCGCCTTTTTAGTTGCCAATTGACAACGAAAATGACGTGAGAAGTTTTCCTGATAGTGTACCTCACCTTTGGTGTTGTGTAAATCCCGAAGGACTGATGGAAATCCTGTGGCTTTATAGAGGAGTCTTCTAATAGTATCTGAGGAGGATTTTCTAGGCAGGCGTCTGCAGAGTCTCACAAGAAGCCTTTCTCATGGAAAGCCACACCTCAGGCAGTTGTGAATTACTGCAGTATTATTTCCATCAAGTATTGTGTGGATATGGCTGTACTCAACTAATTGTGTCTTGGATTTAAGTGCCAGATGACAGCTGATACTACACCGTTCAGTCCCTAAGTAAATGGTACATTTTCACCCCATTGTGGAAACTCCTACTGAGCTGTAAGAAAAGATCCTGCCTTCAGCTGTGTCTCCTGCAGGGTGCAATCAGTGGAAATAAAGCAAAGGTGAGGCTGGAGGAAGAGAGGTGATACTGGGCTATGACATAAGGGATGGCACCAGTGTGTTCTTCTAACCTTTGTAAAAGGCTGTGAATGTCACGTAAAAGTGGTGATGTTTTATATCATTTGCTGGGTGTGGGGAGAGGATCCCAAGTACACATCTATATCTGCTGGTAGAAAGAAATTGGAAAAAACGAGGATTAAAGGACTGAGCAAGCCCTGGTGCTGCAGAAAGGCTGGCAGGACAGTCTATGCCCAGTGTTCCCTTTCCCAGTGCATTCTCAGCACAAAGGCTTTGGGCGAGAGGATGCACGTGATCAGCTCATATCTTCACAAATCTATCTGGAATTTAGGACTGACTCTGTATCCCCTCTTTTAACACACACAGTTGGAAAGTGTAGTTTTTAATTGGTTTCCTTCAAGTTCTTTCCCCAGGGCATTTCCAGACAATAAAGAGTTGATGACTGTTTGTTACCCTTTCTTATAAATTGGGAATTGATCTTACAAAGACAGACCATCGGTTTGATTCTTTCAGGTTTGATTTCTTCCAGTGCTTAGAAACCCTTTGACTGTTTTGGATCTCGAGCCAAAATTCATAATTTAGATTTACATTGGCAGTGTACTAAGCCAGAATCTCAGATCCCAAGATTAATATTTGGAAGAGTTGAGCTTTGATCATTAGTGTAGTTTATCAGCTGAGGTCTATTCGCAAATGATAGACCATATTAGACTGGACTAGATAGAGTAAGGTATCCCAGACAAAGGCATCACTTTTTAGAATACAAGGAAGATCTTTTGTTGAGCAACAACCCCACTTGCATTCAGAACAAATGCAGGTGTTCTTACCTAGGTGTTCTTACCTTGGCATTTTCAGTATTTGCTGTTCCTCTCGCTGGTGCACTTCTGCGAACAGACACAGAGGTCACTGCGCAGCCACAAACCCCTTTTATCTGTGGCACAGCTTGCACCGGGCCAGCTCGCCCAAACCCTGCCCTGGGGAGTGTGAGGCTGTCAGCAACTGCTGCGTTTTTAGGAAAAACAGGACTGCCATTCCCACATGAAGAATTATGAAGCAAGGTGCCTACCCACAATTTTATACTTACTAGCTGTATAAACATCCAGGAGACTGAAATGGATGTGGTGGAAAGGCCTGCACCTGATCCTCAGGTCTGCTGCCAGTGTGTCCCACTGATGTGCTCAATGATGGAATAGAGAGTGCATTCATTAAAGTGGCAGTAACGTTACATTGGGAAGGACCACAAATGTATTGGAGATTAAGATTGGAATTCAAAAGTGATTTTGACACACTGAACGAGTGGCCTGAATAGTTAGAAGGCATTTGGACAAGGCCAGCAGGTCAATGAGCACTCATTTACTGAAAGGAAAACCTAGGCTTTTGAACACAAAGATGCATAACATTCAAACAAGCTCTGAGCCACACATTACTATAAACTGAAAGAGTGCACAGGGGAAGTGCTGCCTTGTCCTGGCCCTGGTCCTCTGCTCTGCTGTAGGCTTCTGCTGTTGGCAAATGCCAGGGAATGCTGAGATGATGATGTGCTCCATATGGGTACTCTGATGTCATGCTCGTGAGTGCAGGGCAGAAATGATTAGCCATGGACACAGGACAGAGATCTGGGCAGCAGTTCTACAGAAAAGATCTGGGATACTGGTGGATTCAAAGCTGAACAAGAATCATAGAGGCATAGAAACATTTAATTTGAAAAAGGCCTCTGAGATCATTGAGTCCAATCATTAACACAGCACTGCCAAGTCCACCACTAAACCATGTCCCTGAGTGCCACATCTACTTGCCTTTTAAATACTTCCAGGGATGGCGGCTCAACTATATCCCTGGGAAGCCTGTTGTGATGCTTGACCAGCCTTTCAGTGGAAAAAAAAATCTTGATGTATATTTCACCTGCTCTGAGAAAAACCCACACCATATTGGAGTAGATAAGTGGTGATGTTATGTTTAAGAAACTTTTGCTGTCATAGATATGAGGGGC